AGTCTAAAAAATTCACCAAAATGCTAGGAATGATGGTATTTGGATGGCTTTTAAGTTTTCTGTAACATTAAAAATTAATAAACCTTATTTTATAGTACAAAATCCTCTTAAAAGTAAATTAAAATGTGTATTCCATTTTATAGAAAATAAATTTGAACTATAGTTCAGCCTTTTGTCTTTACAGGATGAGTAATTTCGATTTAAAGGATTTTTTTTTCACTCTCTAAAAATACCTGGATCTGTTATTGGTGGAAGTCTATCGTGGTGGTGGATTGGAGGAACACATTTTTGCACCTATTCATGGTTCATAATTTGACAAGATTTACTTGTCCTGGGCAGCCTTCTCATCCACCAGTTTACATTTGCTAGATTCTTCCTGCTTTAGCCGGAAAACTTTGAGGGTATGAAGTTAAAAATTGCTCCTTTCTCATTTATGTCCGTTACGGCAAGCTTTGCTTTTTCAGATTCCCCAGGTGGTTAGTTATTGTTGTTGTTTAAGCTTCCCAAGCACTCTGCTTCTGTCTCTGGAAAACCTTTCCTACCTACTCATCAGTGTATCCCCAACGCCTGGTAGATATGATACATTGCCTGGCAAGTAGGAAGCACTCAACCAGTGTTTGTTAAGTGAATAAATGAATATGGTCGCATCTAGGAGTCTCAACTCTCCTTGAATTTGATTCCTGTTTTTGTATTTATCTTAAGACTGAGGATTAGGATAAAATTGGGTGAGAAAGCTTCTAAATTAATCAAGAAACTTAGCAACCATGTATATGTGATTGAAGGCTGTAGTGGCGCGTGGTCATCATAAGACAAAATGGACCCTTAACCTGAAAAAGGTTGCTTTTGCTAATTCCCAGTGTGAGTGGACACAGTTCAAGAGAACCATGGGTATCTGGCCAAGCAGCAGCTGGTACATCTGTTGATAAAGGCATGTGTAATTTGGGTGGATTATAGGAGTGCAGGCCAAACGGAAAAAGCAAATCACTCAGCCTTTGCCCATTTTTAATAGTAAATTTATTTGAGTGTGAGAAGACTTCTGTAGCTGCCACTGAAATTGGCAAGTATTATTCTGAAGAAATAGTACATTTCAGAAACAAACTTCTCATCTTAACAGCCAACATATTTTTTTGGCTGTTGTATTTGTTGGCAGAAACTTCAAATACAGAAATATTTCTTTTAAATATCCTGGAGAGACTAGTGTTTGGAAATTTAACAAATCCTTCCTCAGTGGGGAAATGCCACCACCAGAAACATGTGTAAAATGCTGGCACAGTTATGTTACCTGAAACACTTGACAAAAACATTGTTATAATCACAGTGAGATTCTGCAAATATTTCCCAAACATTACAGTCATGTCTGGTTTAAGAATTCTGCCAGTGTACATGCAACTGTTTCAACCACAGCTCAGTAGTTCAGCTTTGTAAATTTAACAGAATTTCTTCGTCCCCCAACCCCCCTTTCTTTCCCAGAATAGTTTGGGATTGAAGTTCCTGTGAAACCTTGCAAACCCAAGAAAAAAAGCATTACAAGTAGAAACAGGCATTTTACCTTAAGTACATATAGGAAGACAATTTGAAGGCAATTCAGTTTTCCTATAGTCAAGAATTATGGCCATTTGGGAGAAAAAAAATCTTGTTAAATGGAAGAAAAGGGAACAGTTTAAGTGGAGATACCTAGGGACAAAATTATAACTGTCCTTAAAACAAAATCCTGCTACTTGAAAAGTCCTGAGTTTAAAAATTATTTTTTTCATGTGTGTATAAAAAAAGTCCTTGTATGCTTTGAGTCTTGGTTTGCTTGCTTATTTATTCATTTAGGTGTTTTAATTTGCTCATTTTCTACTTTATTCACAAAAGATTTAATATGACCAAAACAAATATGTATAAAACCAGGTATTATATGTTAATAAGAAATAAAAACAGCCCTGACCAGTATGGCTCAGCTGGCTGGGCGTCATCCCATGCACTGAGGTCCCCGGTTTGATTCCCAGTCAGGGCACATGCCCGCGTTTTGGGCTCCATCCCTGGTAGTGGGCATGCAGGGGTGGCCGCTCCACGTTTCTCTTTCTCTCCCCCTCTCCCTTCCTCTCTCTCTCTAAATATCAGTAAAAAAATCTTTAAAGAAAGTTCTTTTTTTTTTTATCCTCATCCGAGGATATTTTTCCATCTTTGTTCAGATACAGTGGGAGGGAGAAAGAGAGAGAGAAACATCGACGTGAAAGGGACACATTGAGTGGTTGCCACCCGCACAACCCAACCAGGGCCGCCGGGGACAAACTGCAACCGAGGTACGTGCCCTTAGCGGGAACCGAACCCGGGCCTCTCTGGACCGCAGGCCGACACTCTAACCGCTGAGCCAAACCGGCCAGGGCTAAAGAAAGTTCTTTAAAAAAGAAATTAAAACAAAAAACAAGCTAGGGAAAAACAAACATACTGAGGACCTACATAACTGCTACAGTTTGACCTCGAAATTAGCTCTGCGTTTCTGCAAAGTGAAAAATAAAAATTAAGTATGTGGTTCTTATGTTCAGTAAGAAAAACAACAATAAAAATAAAACAACAACAAAAACAAAAATCCAACCTGTTTCTCCAAGGAAATAAAGAATTTTTTAGCACTAAATACTAAAAAGAAAAAGAAAAAAAACGTAGGGAGCTGCGTTCAAGGGGGAGCTGAGACTTGTAGAATGTGTCCTCAACAACATTGCTGGTCTTTTCATTTATTTATTCACTCTTAACCTTTCCTCAAACATTTACTATGTACTTACTATGTGCCATACACTGTGCTAGATGGTAAGGATACCACAGCAAACAAGACAGGGAGCTCAATGTCTAGAATCTGAAGATTACCCAGGGCCAAGGGATCTACTCCAAAGGGACAGGCGGGCCTAGTGGTGGAGTGTCTAATCACTGGGTTTCTCCATATCAGCTGGCATTTCACGTTGCCATTCAGGACCTACAGCCTCTAGGTTGATGCCAGGGATGTTTACAGTATATTCCAGCGTAAATGCCAGGAAGAAGCTAACAGGAACTGGGCTATGGGAGGCAGGGCTCCAGCCCGCTTGGCTGGGGCACAGGGCTGAGGTTATTCCTGGAGTGAGGACCAGAGATAAGTGATCTCTTAGTTACACAGCTACTTCTTTGGGGAACAAGGCCAATTCCCCGTAAAGCCAATTTACTGAATGGCAAGCTGGCCTAATTACTTATTTCTATTCATTATTTGGAAAGTTTAAGCAATTCATGTATGATACAATGATTTTTAATAGCCTTTTGAAGACTTATGTGATGTTTAAGGTATTTTCTTTTTGTTGTAGTGTGCTGCCATTTTATGGAATATACAGTTTGTATTTGCCCTGCTGTGATGGGAACAGGCTGGGGCAGAGAGAGAGAGAAAAACACCTTGCAGAGCCTAGATTGCTAATCTACATGAGAGAAGAGGTTGAGGGGCAGGGCATGGGGACATCGGGAAGAGGCAGAGTCAGAATATATTCACAAATTGTATAATCATTAATAATTTATATTCTTGAGTGCAAAGAATTCTTAGGGATATATTTTTTCTTATGAATAATAATAAGGCAATTTATTATGCCCCTCAGTACCCACTCCCTCTCCCTCTCACTATTCCACACCCCACTGAAGGCATTGCTAATCTATTGCTTCTAGGAAAGACTCCATGGGGTCAGGGTCTCCATGGGAATGAGGACAGGTGACATAACTTAGTACAAGACGATGGGGCAGGGGCAACAGAAACTGGCAGAAATGATAGAGTAGGTTGCAAAGTCATTCTTCGTGTTTTAGGGGTGATAACCATGTTGTCTACACGTTAGATCTCTTCCTAGACCTTAGAACTGGAATCTAGATGTCTTCAGGTGACTTGGCATTGAGAAATATTTTAAAAATCTTATTTACTGAAAGTACATCAATTTCCATTTTCCAATAGTAAGTTTTTCTTTCTCAGCAATGAGCAATTTGCATTTGTATCTCATTTTGTAATTTTCAACATGCTACATGTTATCTCATCTTGTCCATACAGAAAATCTGAGTAAATTTAACTCACTTATTTGTACCCTCCCTTATTCCAGAGAAAGTATGAAGTAGTTTACAGAGAAACATAAAATTTAATAGAATAAAAAAATAAATGAGGACATTGCAGTGAAGAAAAAATAAGGGTAGGTGAATAAAGCCAGTAGAAAAGTAACTTGTTTTCCATAAAGTTATTTGTAGTTGCTAGAGCTGGGCTATCCACCCCCCACCCCCCGCCAAAAAACAAACAAACAAACAAAAAAAAAACGAAAGGGAAACTTTGTTTATAAAAATAACATGGTCATTAGATTAAAAGAATAAATGCTCAGGGCCACAGTCTCTCTTGGTACTGGGACAGAGAATTTTCCACAGTGTGTTCTCATAAAAGGAACACTGTGTGGCTTGCAGACTGTACTCCTGAACTCCTGTGGAAGAAGTACACGGTAGACTGTTTCCTAGAATAACCTGCTTGGTAAGGCTTACGGGATTATACCAAAATGCATTTTAATAAAAGTAGTTTTCCGAGAGGGTAAAACAATGCAGTTCAGGTTCACAGCTCCCTGATGGTTGGACAGGATCCAAAGACAACATCCAGGAATGAGTGGACTCAGTCTTTCAGGCATTTCTCCATGAATATTATTTCTTGTAATCCAATGTTTTTAAATATGCAGAAGAGACTGTCAGGTTAGATACTTTGCCAGGAAACTGAAAGGCTATGAGTTGGCTTAGACAAAATCATTATCCTCATTTCACAGATGAAGAAACAGGACCTTGGAGAAGAGAATGATCATCCAAGGCTGTGTGGTCGGTCAGTGGTGGAACCAGGACCGACACCAGTTTGTCTGACTCTAAGTCTGTGACTCTTTCAGCCATTTCATCTCTTTTCTCTAATTTAAGTAGAGTTCTGTTACAGTTTGAAAGTGTTAAAAATGAATATTTTCAATATCTACATTGTACTTGCTGCTTAAATGTTAAATACTTAGAAGAAAGAAAACATTCACCATTGAGCTGAAGTCTCATCCCCTCTGAATTTGGTGGGTTTTATTCCTGAGCACATTTCTGTTTTGTTTTGTTTTTTACCTCATATGTATGTTTGTGTTTAAAATTTACAGAAAGTACATAAGTGAGTCATAGTATATCAGTACTTTTGCACTACCCCCACGCCCAATTTATAGTTTTGATATATAACCATATTGATACTGGTTGTTCATTCATTTTATTTTATTATTTATTTATTTAATTTTTGTTACAGTTTATAGTTTTGATATATAATCATGTTGATACTGGTTGTTCATTCATTTTATTTTATTATTTATTTATTTAATTTTTGTTACAGTTTATAGTTTTGATATATAACCTTGTTGATACTGGTTGTTCATTTTATTTTATTATTTATTTATTTATTTATTTAATTTTTGTTACAAATGCTTCTCCTTTTTCCCCTATTGACACCCTCCTCCCAATCCCACACCACCCCAGCATTGTTGTCTATGTCCATGGTTACACATACATGCATATAAGTTCCGTAGTTTATTTCTCCTCTCCACTCCCATACCCCTCTTCTGAGGTTTGTCAGTTTGTACCTTACGTCTATGTTTCTGGGTCTATTTTGTTCATCAGCTTGCTTTGTTCATTATATTCCACAAATAAGGGAGATCATGTGGTATTTGTCTTTCTCTGATTGGCTTGTTTTGCTTAGCATAATGCTCCCCAGGTCCCTCCATGTTGTCTCAAAGGGTAAGAGATTTTTCTTTCTTACAGCTGCATAGTACTCCATTGTGTATATGTACCACAGCTTTTTTATCCACTTATCTATTGATGAACACTTGGGCTGTTTCCAGATCTTAGCAATTGTAAAGAGTGTTGCTATATTCTTTCTGATGGGTGTTTCGGACTTCTTAGGGTATATTCCTAGAAGTGGGATCACTGGGTCAAATGGCAGTTCAATTTTTATTTTTTGAGGAAACACCATATTGTTTTCCATAGTGGCTGCATCAGTCTGCATTCCCACCAGCAGTGGACTAGAGTCTCCTTTTCTCCACACCCTCGCCAACACTTGTTGTTTGATGATTTGTTGATGGCAGCAGCCCTCTGGCAGGTGTTGTTCATTCATTTTAGCTGTGGAATAGTCTTCCCTTTTATGACTCAACCACCCACAGTTTATCCTTTCTCTTACCAATAGGATTTGGTTATTTCCCGTTTTTGTTTTTTTTTTGTTAATTCTCACCTGATTAATTCTCAATGATTTTTACATAGCGTGGAAGGGAGGGCAGGAGAGAGAGAGAAACATTGATGTGAGAGAGACACATCTATTGGTTGCCTCCTGCACGATCCCCACTGGGGCCGAGGATCAAACCTGCAACCCAGGTATGTGCCCTTGACTGGGAAGCGAACCCGTGACCCTCCTCGGGCCCATGCTCTAACCTTGGAACCAAACCAGCCAGGCCTGCAGAAATTTATTAAGTCACCAATGGCTGCTGCTCCTGTCTGAGCATTCGTGTGATGCGGAGGTCTCCTGGGAAACCTGGCACCCAAAGTGCTGTTTGGGTCCCTTTGTAAGCAGTGCTGCTCTACCTGCATGGGCCTTCACTGCCCTCTAACTCCCTGCATGTCTCTCTGGTTGGTTGGTTCGGATTCTTGTCCTTGGCCTGTTCTAAGCACCATTTGTTTCTTTTAAAAAATATTTTTTTCTTTATTGATTTTAGAGAGAGGAAGGGAGAGGGAGAGAGATGGAAACATTAATGAGAGCGAACATCGATTGGTCCCCTCCTGCATGCCCCCCCACTGGGGATTTGGCCCACAACCTGGGCATGCGCCCTGAGCCGGACCTCTTGGTGCATAGGTTGAGGCTCAGCCACTGAGCCACACAGGCAAGGTAGCACCATTCATTTCTTAAGTGCCCTACCTTACGCTGGCTCCCCCTGCTCCCAAGAGATGACCTCACTTATTATTTTCCTGAGAAAAAGAAGGTCATCTGATGAGAGCTCCCTAAATCCTCTCTCCCAAACTTCTCAGTATTTCCACCCAGAAGAAGAATCAATGTGTTTTGCAGACCACATATTCTTTATGTAATGAATGGAGGTATATATTTTTAAAAAGCTTCTCAGACAGCCAAAGGGAGCTTTGTCTTACTAGGAGCTACACCATCTTCAAAATCACTCATTCAAATATCCCTCTTCTAGCGTAATTCCTACTCTCACTGTAACGGTCCTTGATCAATCGGTGTGCGCCCTCATGCTGTCTCTTCACTCCTTCCTGTCTTTGCATCCTCTTTTTCCACGTCACCCCTCCCCTCCCACTCCCACGCTGCCTGCCTCTCCCAGAGCCCGAAACTTTCCTGCATTACTCTGCGTGGCTACCCTTCTGGGAACTTTCCTTTATTTCTCCTAGGTTCAATATCCAGTCTCTGTGTTTCTCATTTTTAGTTTAGTTTTCTATTTTGCAAAATACTTTTTTTCCTCTTGTTTTATTTTCTTATTTTGTTGGGACAACTCTTCCAGTAGCTCTCTAAGGGTGAGTGCACAGTATATAACTTTTCTGAAGTCTTGTATGTCAGGAAATGACTTTTTTCTATGTCTCACACTTAATACATAGCTGGGCATAGAGTATAGGTTGAAAATAATTTCCTATCTCATTTTTAAAAACAGTGGTAAAATATACATAACAAAATTTACCTTTTTTTTTTTTATCCTTACCTGAGGACATTTTGCATTTATCTTCAGATAGAGCGGGAGGGAGAGAGGGAGGAAGAGAGAGAGAAACATCCATGTGAGAGAGACACATTGACTGGTTGCCACCCACACGACCCCAACCAGGGCCGGGGACAAACTGCAACTGAGGTGCATGCCCTTAGTGGAACCGAACCTGGGACTCTCTGGTCCACGGGCTGGTGCTCTAACCGCTGAGCCAAACTGGCCAGGGCCCAAATGAACCATTTTTAAGTGTACAGTTTGCTGCATCAAATCAGTCAGGAAACCTTGTTGGCACCATCGTTAGCATATTTTCAGAATCTGACTACTGATCAGTGCTCCTGCACTCTGGTCCCTGCTATCATCTGGATTACTGTGAGACCCTTTCCTCCCAGCATTTTATTATGAAAATTCTCAAACACACAGCATAGTTGAAAGAATTTTACACAAATACTCAACACCTAGCTTTCACCTTTAACATTTTTCCCAACTTGCTTTCTCATTTATTGATTATCCAGCCCTTTGTCCATTATTCTATAATAACCTTTTAACTAGTCTCCCTGCTTCATTCCTTGTCGTATCATTTGTTCTCAGCACATCAACCTGGGCAATAATTTTGAAACATAAGTGAAATGGTATCAAAACTCTGGTAATGTCTACCTGTTTCACTTCTACCAAGTTGGCAGTCTTTATGATTCTAAAAGGGAAAATTGCCTTGGAAACTTTCAGATTTCTGTGGAATTGTGAGTGCATACTGAATTTCTGTGCAGTGTTATAGCAGTTGCATCCCTGAGGATGAGACCGACCTTTGTCTTTTGGAGGGAAGAAACTGTACTGCTTGTTCAGGAGGCTAAAATCTTTAAGCATCTGTTCCTGCGGAGGAGGTTTTCTTGCATTTTGCTCTCCATTTGAGCATGTGTGTGGGCGTGGATGTTTATAAACGAGACTAAATCTGATTTCATAAGGGCTTTCTAAAATTCTGTCCAATAGAATATGACTTTTTGCTTTGATATTATTAAAAACCTAATGAATAAAGAAAAGCTAGTGAAGTGTCTTAGCAGCATGCAGAACAAAATTTTTTTTTTCTTTTAATTTTTTTTCTTTATTGATTTTTAGGGAGAGAGGAAGGGAGAGGGAGAGAGAAACATAGATGAGAGAGAACATCGATTGGCCGCCTCCTGCATGCCCCTCACTGGGGATTGGGCTCACAACCTGGGCATGTGGCCTGACCAGGAATCGAACCAGTGACCTCCTGGTGCATGGGTCGATGCTCAATCACTGAGCCACACTGGCCAGGGCAGAACCCAAACTTTGAAATCTCTCTTTATAAAACTTTAACATATATCTCTCATTATACATTGTCAGGTAAAGGTGTAAAGTGGAAGAACTTGTTGATTCTGTTTGTAACTGATACTGTGAAGCCCTTTATGACTTTAAAATCCAGTTCATCTTATGGTGTCATTTCCGGAAACATTCAGTTGTTAGCAATTTTTCTTTTGTTGCCTACTTTTGCCAGGTCCTCCAGGTGCCTGTTTTGTGTTTGTTTTGACTTCTTTTTTTTCATTATTAGAGGATCTCCGGAAAAGATGTGATCATCTTTGGCTGTCCATTCAAATGTAAGAGTGAGGAATGTAAAAGCCAATTAGTGGAATTTCACAGTAGGGTTATTTGGCAGGGAACATACTTTTCTCTAGGGGATCCTCAAATAGCAGTATCTGGAGGTCTTTTCTAGGATGCCTTTTGTCTTCTCCAGAAAAGGATGCTTTGAAATCTGACCTGTGGGCGGAGCTAGGGTTCTGGGGAAATAGGTCTGGTGGCCAGTGCTCTTGGGATAGGTAAGGGCTGGGGGCCCTACTACTGTGTCCATGCAACCTTGTCTAAAGTCTTGCTGTCAGCCCTGATCTCCAGCACATTCATTTTCAGACCTATGTCTCATCCTTAGCTTCTGCAGTATCTCTTGCTTCCGCATCCCAAACCTCTCAGGGTTTCTTCAAAGATAGGGATGGGGAAGCGGGAGTTAATACGAAACACTGGAATCTTTGGTAGCAATTTAGGAACAAAGTACAGTGATACCTCGGTTCTCAAACGCCTTGACTTTCGACCAAATCGGTATTCGACCAGGAGATTCGAGAAACTTTTGTCTTGGAATCCGAACAAATATTTGGAACTCGAACTTCCGAGATGAGCCGAGTTCAGCCGAATGGCGTTCATTCGGCCCAGCGCGCCTTGCTTGCGTCATCAGTGTGAGTGCAGAGAGAGAGTCACGCTTTGTGGAGAGAGTCACGCTTTACACTGAATTTAACCCTTAGACATACTGTACACTTTTATTTCTTGTTGAGACTTATGTTTTTCTACATATTATATACAAATTAGGCCAGTAAATAGGCATTTTCTGGGGCTTGGAACGAATTAATCCAGTTTCCATTATTTCCTATTGGGTTTCATTGCTTCGGTTCTCGAACAATTTGGTTCTCGACCGTCCTCCTGGAACGAATTATGTTCGAGAACCGAAGTATCACTGTAATGGAGTCACAGGGAGAGGTGATAACAAAAGGAATGAAGAGACATGCATGGGGGGGACCCCAAACCATTGTTAGTACTTTGAACTTAAAGATGCCATCAAGCTTTTTAGGAGGCTGGTGACACCGTGGTAGCAAAGGCAGGAGACTTTGGCTGGGGAAATTATGAACTGTAGAAAGTTTGAGCGTGGAGTGCAAGGGCAGAATATCTAGGTTAAAATGTGCTGATGGAAATTAAAATAATTACTTCCTGAGTACATGCCTTCTAGATCTACGCCGATTTAACACGTCCGATTTTGTAGCGTTGGAAGTTTTCGTCCTGAAGTTTTTTCATTCTTTATCTAAGAATTGTGGCTAGCTTTCATTTTAACTGCTGATTAAGAAATAGGATAATCCTGATAAATTATTTCATAGATTATAATACATACCATTTATATCCTGTAATACCTCTCCCTGAGTAAGGACTCAGTACATGTTAGTTGTTACTGCAGTGCTTCGATTTCACGTGCTTTTTCATGGAATTCCTACAACCCCCCCATAAGTGTTATCATCCCCCCTTTGCTGGCAGTGGGCATTGCAGTTCGGAACGTTTGGGACTTAGTCAAGGCCAACAGACAGCTCTTGGACAAGTGGCTGCATTCACTCAGCTGCTTTTATCATGGTTGAAGTGGGTGGTTTGGCGGCACTGTTGGTATTGGCCAGTGACTGACACGGCTTCATTGTGAGGTAGCTTGATAGCGAGCACAGCGGTATTACATCCAGAGAGCTGCTACATGTTTGTTTTCCAAAAGTGTAGTGAATAGATCGGATTGATTGTTCTGGCATTTTGTGGCGGTCATTAGAAAAATAAAGCGCCGGAAAGGAGACAATAGAGTAGACTTAAAAAATCATCTGGTCTGGGAATTGGTGGCAATTGCTTCTGGTTAAATGATGATGAAAAAATAAGTAATAACAGAGTCAGGAAAAGTTAATGGGAAAAAGATGAAGAAACTTACTGTGTGTGTGGCACCGACTTTATTCTGTGAGCTCGTAAGCAGATCAGTGTTAATAGTTGTCAGCTGCTAGGAATAGCTCTATAACTTAACTGACAGGAGGGAGATCCTTCAGATTCCCTGGGTGGACCATAAAGAGCATGATACAGCAACAACAGTGGGGAAAAAAGGATGAGGGAGGCACTCCAGGGAAAAAGCTACCATTTAAATCACTCCGTTAAACAATAACCTGAACGTCCTTACTGCGTCCTGCCGTGGTACACTGCTTAGCCTTTGAAGATAAGATAGATGTCTCTTTCTCCCTGTTGCTTTATACAGTGATTGTTGAGTGCTACGACCCTGCCAGGGCTTGTTAGCAAACTGTGTAATAGTGAGAAAATAAGAGCCTCGAAGAGCGACCAAAAGACTTTCAGGAGTCTTTACCAGAAATTTTTGACAAATTCAGAATTTTTGTAATTTTATTTGTGTCAAGAGAGTGTTTTTGTTTTTGTTTTTAAATGAAGATACAGTTATACAGGTTCCATAGCATATGGATCAGAGAACTGCTCCTGAACCAAATAATACCTTTGTCCTTATTTTGTTAAATAAAAAAGTTTTCTTTTTAAAAAAATATTTTTTCTTTATTGATTCAAAAATTTTTGAAATATGTTTTTATTGATTTTTTTTTTTTTTTGAGAGAGAGAGAGGAAGGGAGAGAGTTGGAAACATCTGTGTGAGAGAGGAACATTGATCGGCTGCTCCCTACTGGGGATCAGGCCTGCAACCTAGGCATGTGCCCTGACTAGTAATCAAACGCAGACATTTCAGTCCATGGGACGGCACTCAGTCCACTGAGCCACACCAGCTGGGTTCTTTTTTGGTTTTAGAGAGAGAGGAAGGGAGAGGGAGAGAGAGACAGAAACACTGATGAAAGAGAACATTGATTGGGCGCCTCCTGCATGCCCTCTGGGGATTGGGCCCACAACCTGGGCATGTGCCCTGACTGGGACTCGAACCAGTAACCTCTTGGTGCATGGGTCGATGCTCAACCAATGAGCCACACCGGCTGGGCAAAAAACAGTTTTCTTAATGCAGCAGAAATATGCATTCATCTGAAAATTTTAAAATGCAGATAAAACGAAGAAAATAAAAACCACCCATAATTTTATTTATTAGAAACAATATTCAAATTTCATTTTGAGTTGACAATTTTCTAGTCATAGTAATGCAAAGTAAATGCCAAGATTTCTTTAAAAAGGGGAAATTCTCTAGTGTTTGAGGTTTTAGAGATACCAGAGGCATATTAAGATGTATTACATAAGCAAACCACAGTCCTTTCAAAATAGCTTATGCCATTTTTAGACATATGTATATTGGTTTAATCAGTGGTTCTCAACCTTCCTAATGCTGCAACCCTTTAATACAGTTCCTCATGTTGTGGTGACCCCCAACCAAAAAATTATTTTTGTTGCTACTTTATAACTGTAATTTTGCTACTGTTATGTCTTAGGCGACCCTGTGAAAGGGTCATTCGACCCCCAGGTTGGGAACTGCTGGTTTACATGAATTTTAAAAATGCAATTACACATGATTCCACTTGATCGTAGGCTCTCCAGTGCCACTGCATGAACCCTTCACCCAGTCTTTGGTATGTGCCTGAAGATGGTCCCTTATTTACTTTTAGGAATAGTCTCATTTATTTCCATTCTAAAATAAATGATATTTGTTACATAATTGTGTGTAACTTTTATTTGAAGAGGAAAAGTGAAGCTGTGAGGACGGACTCTTCTGTGCTGTGATTCCACCTAGAAGGCCGCGCTGTGCCCGGAATGCAGTGAGTGGATGGCCCTGGAGATTTTGGTTGATAGACAGCCCTTTTGGTTTAGCCAAGCCCTCATTCCTCTTTCTGCTTTCACACTCTTTTTTTTTTTTTTTTTAATCCTCACCCGAGGACATTTTTTTGTTGTTGTTCAGGTAGAGCGGGAGGGAGAGAGAGGAACAGAGAGAGAGAGAGAAAAACATCGATGCGAAGGGACACATCAAGTGACTGCCACCCGCACGACCAACCAGGGCCGGGGACAAACTGCAACTGAGGTACATGCCCTTAGCGGGAACCGAACCCGGGTCTCTCTGGACCGCAGGCCGACGCTCTAACCGCTGAGCCAAACCGGCCAGGGCTGCTTTCACACTCTTTTTAGCTTCTCAATTCAGACCCTGGGAAATCTCTCAAAACATTCTTCTCTACTCTGTTTCAGTTTTTCCTGGGCCCTATTTGGCAAGTAAATTCCTCTCCAGAGATTACTCACCAAAGACAATTGTGTTGGAAATGTCATCCCAAGTTTTCTTCTGTAGCGTGTTTTGATAAGTGATTGTACCAAGACAGTATTTGGGTCAATAATGTAACGCTTCTAATTGTTGAGTCAGTCTTCAAAGTTTGGTTTTACTTTTGACGGACATTTTTAGAAGGCCTAGGATATTCTTTAATAAATAAAAAATTATCTTGTTAACTTGTTTGCTAATAAATTTTCATTAAAAGCAAAACTTAGATAAATAGTTATTTTTAAGGTCTAGACCAATTTTTTTTTTTTTTTTTTTTTTTTTACTAATATAATTATTTTAAACAACTTTAATATGCAATATAGTGATTCCCACACATTAGTCTGACACAGCACAGGAACATTTCATTTCCTTTCTAAAAAGTAAAAAAAATATTTTTTTGTAATCTTCACCCAAGGATATTTTTGCATTGATTTTTAGAGATGGAAGGGAGTGGGTGGGGAGAGCAAGAAAGAGAGAGAGAAACAAACATTGATGTGAGAGAGACCCATCAATTGGTTGCCTCCCATGTGACCCCAACTGGGGCGGGGGGTTGAACCTGCAACCTAGGTATGTGCCCTTGACCGGAATCAAACCTGAGACCCTTCGGTCTGAGGGCCAACACTCTTAACTGCTGGGCCAAAGCAGCCAGGACCAGGAACATTTCTTGATTTTCTGGTTATCATTTTATTGTCTATTGTTCTGTTTTTATTTATTTTTTATTTTTTTATTTTTTCCTCACCCGAGGACATTTTTCCATTTTTGTACAGAGTGGGAGGGAGAGAGAGGAAGAGAGAGAGAGAGAGGGAAACATCGATGTGAAAGGGACACATCGAGTGGCTGCCACCCGCACGACCAACCAGGGCCGGGGACAAACTGCAACCGAGGTACATGCCCTTAGCGGGAACCGAACCCGGGTCTCTCTGGACCGCAGGCGGACGCTCTAACCGCTGAGCCAAACCGGCCAGGGCTGCTTTTATTTTTAATATAAATACACTCGATACCTTGTTTTTGATGAATACTGAATGTCAGTGAGTGGTGTTTAGAGATATTATTAAATTCAAAGTTTCTGAATAATGCTAATAGGACTATTTTGGGTGAAATTCTGGTTTATAATAAGTACACTCCTGACAGTCACATCTGATTCCAGCTTCACATGATGGGCACTTCTCCTTTGTTTCTGTGGCACCTTCTACCTGCATCTCTAAGAGGATTTTGCTCAGCATTCTATTCATTTGTTATTCGAAGAAGATGGAATTGCTTGAAAGCAGGGTCTAGCATATATAAATATTTGTTGAGTAAATGAAGGACAAAAAAATAAAGAAAGAAAAATAAAGAAATCTGACTCAGTGGTAGCTAGCTTTATGAGGTACCAACCTGTATTGGTCAAAAGCATAAAATCTGAAGCCAAAACCACCTGGGTTCAACTGGTAGCTCCATCACTGATTAACTGTATGTCCTTAGACAACTGCATGTGACATTTATATGTCTCAGTTTTGTCTTTTCAAATATGGGGATAATTACAGTGCTTGACTCATAGAGTTGTTATAAAGATTAAAGGAGGTTATATGCAAAGTTCTTAGAATAGAGCCTGTATATAGTAAGTGCTATAACAGCATTTACTACTATTATTATTTTTTGTTTGTTGGTTGGTTTACTTTTTTTTTTTTAATCATCACCTGGGGATATTTTTACGTTTATCTTCAGACAGAGTGGGAGGGGGAGAGACGAGAGAGAGAGAGAAAGAGAGATGTGAAAGAGACACATCAATTGGTTGTCACCCACATGACCCCAATGGGGCTGGGGACGAACTGCAACCGAGGTACGTGCCCTTGGTCGGAATCGAACTTGGGACTCCTTGGTTCGCAGGCTGATGCTCTAACTAACCTCTAATCCAAACTGGCCAGGATTGTTCATTGGTTTAAATAGCCCTGGAGTGGAATAGAGGGTCTCCATAGGAAATTCACTCTGGAATTCAGTTTTTCTTCCTGTGTGATGAAGTACTTTGTCTTCCCTTTGGGTTCAGGAGCCCTTGGGTATGGAATGGGGAGTGGAGGTCCTCAGTACATCAAAAGCTAAGGACATGTGTACCTTGATCAGTATTCAGGCTGCACAGGCTCACTTAAACAGCTTTTTATTTTTGTATAGAATCCTATCAATTTAGTATAGTAACACTGTTACCTCAGGCAGGCTCTGATTCATTTTAATTCACGGGATAAAACAATTAATTATTAATTAATAAATAGTTTATTTGGTAGATAAAATCTTTTTTTCATCCTCACCCGAGGATATTTTTCCACTAATTTTTAGATAGAGTGGAAGGGAGGGGGGGGGAGTAAAGGGGGGGAGAAACATCAATATGAGAGAAATACATTGATTGATTACCTCCTGTAGACCCCAACCGGGGCTGGGGATCGAACCTGCAACCCAGGCACATGCCCTTGACTGGAATGGAACCCAAGCCCTTAGGCCCACAGGCTGATGCTCTAACCACTGAACAAAACTGGCCAGGGCTGGTAGGTAAAATCTTTAACAAGTGATCTGTGGGAGAGATAAAGAAAGAAATGTGTAGGTGGAAAGACAAGTACTTGGGAAGATAATTGACTCTAATAGATAACCCACAAAGACATTCTTTTTGATATAGTTGTTTCTTTTTTTAGTTTCACTTTGTAAGATATGCTGGGTCAGCTCTTACTGTTTCCAGTAAATGGCAACATTCATGGAGAAGAAAAGGAATTAAATACAATGTTTCAAAGAAGAGCCTTGCAGGGTGAAGGTTGACAATAAAATACACAGAAACACCTAAGATACCAGTTTGTGTCAACTTGACTTCCTCTAGACCAGATATGGAATCTAACTGCGTAGCTTCTCTTTGCACCATGAGTTTAGAATCCACAATGCTGGCTTATTTGGAGTTCTGCCAGCAACTCCAATGAGCATGAATAGGTCACAGGGCAAAATCTTGATTATGTTTCAAAAAAGAAGGCGTAGTCACTTTGTTCCTTGTGAAGGAAGGAAAACTCACTAGAAACAGCTTTCTTTTGGAGGTCAGTTTTTGGTTTCTGTTGTTCTCTGGTGATGTGTGTTCACACGAAATGCAGAACTGCAGAGTTACTAATGAGTACTTCTCCCTTTCACTTTTAGTTCACTTCTTTAACTGAGATGGACATGATATAATCTCCATTGAGTTGAAGGATGGCATCCAGTTCTGTGCTTCCCACCGAAGATGAACAGGTTTCCTTGGGCATTGATGATCTCCATATTTCACTGCAAGGTAATTGAGATTGGGCCCCCACCCATGTCTGCTGTGGGAACCCTCATCGATTCATGAATCATGTTGTTTTCTGTCTCTCTTAGGTATTTTTCTAATTGTAGAACCTTTCAATATGCTACCTAAATGTTGTATTGCTTTCTCAGCTCTTTAGAAAGTAAGGCATGCCTGGAAGGAATTTGGTATCTCAGTTTCTCATTCTAAGAGTATGAATTTTCTTTGTCTTGTTTTTTTTTTTTTTGGGGGGGGGGACAGTAAAAATTAAATAGTTACCAGAGTTTGCTTGGCATTGTTTACACTTGTTTTGCATCTTTACATATAGCCTCTTTTATTCATTCATTCATTTAAAATTTTTTCAGTTACAGTTTACATTTAATATTGTGTTAGTTTCAGGTGCACAGCATAGCAATTAGACAACTATACACTTTACAAAGTGTTCCCCCCTGATATTTTCAGTACCCACCTGGCACCCCATACATAGTTATTACAATATTATTGACTGTAACTATCAATCTGTACCTCTAAATCTCTTCACCCTTTTTACCCAGTCCCCAAATCCCCCTTCCCTCTTTTAAATATACACCCTATTTTGCACTAATAGAAAAGAATGTAATATAGTGAATGATGATGTTTCAGTCATGTGAATTGTAAGTGCTTCTTGTGGAGTTTGGCAGTATTTGTTTTGTACTTTGAAAATTCATTAGCCACTAGACTTTCCACCTTTGATGATAAAGCAAATCTTGGAGCTGAGTAGTTAGCTAGTATAGAAGAAATAATACTATGGCAAGTTTTTGCAAATATTTATGTAGCAAATATTTAAAGTACTTTTAAGATTTTGAACAGTATTATGCAGCATTCTCGAAATGTTACTTAGAAACCATAGGTTTTGAGTCATTTATTATTTTAATTTAAATTTTATTTATTAATTTTTTTCAATTCTTACCTGAAGCTATTTTTCCATTTATCTTCAGATAGAGTGGGAGGGAGGGAGAGAGGGGAAGAAAGAGGGAGAGAGAGAGAAACATAGACACATCCACTGGTTGCCTCCTGCATGACTCCGACCAGGGCCGGGGACGAACCGCAACTGGGGTACGTGTCCTTGGCTGGAATTGAACCTGAGACTCTTTGGTCCATGGGCCGATGCTCTAACTGCTAAGCAAAACCAGCCAGAGCTATTTATTAATTTTTAATTGAGGTATAATTGACATAAAACATTGTATTAGTTTCAGATATACAACATAAGGTTTTAATATTTTATATATTATAAAATGATCACCACAGTAAGTCTAATTAATATACAACACTGTACATATTTACAGAATTTTTTTCTTGTGGTTTGCACTTTTAAGAATTACTCTCTTAGCAACTTTCAAATATGCAATACAGTATTGTTAACTCTAGTTTCCATGCTGTACATTACATTTATTTGAGATATTTATAAGATCCTCACATGACTTTCTGATATTTTCTTTTAATTAAAAATGTGTTTTTGTCCTGGCCGGTTTGGTTGGCCCGTGGTCCGGAGAGACCTGGCTTTGGTTCCTGCTAAGGGCATGTACCTCGGTTGCAGTTTGTCCCTGGCCCTGGTTAGGTCGTGCGGGTGGCAGCCACTCAATGTATCCCTTTCACGTCAATGTTTCTCTCTCTCCCTCCCACTCTATCCGAACAAAAAATGGAAAAATGTCCTCAGGTGAGGATTTAAAAAAAATGTGTTTTGAATGATTAGATTACTTGACTTTGAGGTCAGTAGCTATTGCAATAGACTAAACCTATATGTATCAGACTTGTAAAAATAATTATCATGTAATTTATATAGAAACATATAATATGTTGAGAGGTGGTACTTCAGGTGAGAATTCTTAAAATTCTCAGTAAGTACTTTTTATTTTTTTTTATCTTCACCCGAGGGCATTTTTTTTGTTCAGATAAAGTAGAAGTGAGAGAGAGGAAGAGAGAGAGAGAAAGAAACATCGACCTGAAAGGTATACATCGAGTGGCTGCCTCCCACACTACCCAACCAGGGCCGGGGACAAACTGCAACCAAGGTACGTGTCCTTAGTGGGAACCGAACTCGGGTCTCTCTGAACTGCAGGCCGATACTCTAACCGCTGAGCCAAACCAGCCAGGGCTAGAATTGTTTTTTTAGAGGCAGATAGATGCCTATTTAATTTATAATGCCTACTTTATTTTTGCCAAAACTTATCTAAGGTGAAATAATTATGGCCATACTCTGACTCAGAATGATATGCTCAAGAAAAGATTAAGATGTCTGCATTGAAATGTGGTGATTCATTGTTGATATGTTATGAAAGCAGATATCCCACATGTGCAGGACCTACCACGGATCAGGCCTAAGGAATCAGGAAGTGCTTTGCTGAAATTCATAGAGCAGGACAATAAACAAGTGACTTCATCTTTCTTTTGCTCATCTTTTATGTGGTCTTTAGAAAATGTTTCTATGAAGGGATTTTTGAGGGCCCATTTTGTAGGAAGATATTTGTGTTCTCTTAGTCTAGTGAGGAGAATAGCCTTGAAATGGTTGGATTGTTGCAGCAAGAAAGAAGTTGCATTTGTGAATTTTAACAGGTTAATGTAAAAATAGAATTCAGTGCATTTCCTACTATGGATGGTCCATGTTTTATTTTATTTTTTCACTTTTTTTTTTCCGTCCTCACCCAAGGACATTCTTCTATTTATCTTCAGATAGAGTGGGAGGGAGGGAGAGAAAGAGAGAGAAACACTGACACGAGAGGGACACATCGATTGGTTGCCTTCTGCACAACCCCAACCACAGCAGGGAATGAACCGCAATCAAGGTACATGCCCTTGGCCAGAATCGAACCCACGACTCTTTAAATCTTTCATGGAGTTCTTAACCTGGCAGAATAATAGATCATCTTTCTCTTTTATCCTGAGAAAAGTAGTAAATGCATATTTTGTCTGAAATGACATTTCTCCTAAGATCTTCAGGTGGGAAAGGTATGTTTAGGGAACAATTCTTTGAAATATTGGATTAAGCCTCACCAGTGTGGCTCAGTGGTTAAGCATTGGCCCATGGACCAGGAGGTTGGTAGTTTGATTCCTGGTTGGGACACAAACCTGGGTTGTGGGTTTGATCCCCAGTGGGGGTGTGCAGGAGGCAGCCAATTGATGTGTCTCTCTGATTGATGTTTCTGTCTTTCTCTCCCTCTCTCTTCCTCTCTAAAAATCAACACAAACATATTTAAAAAAAGCATTGGATTGATATGATTAAAAAAATAGTAAGGGGAACAAGATGGATACATACCACAGAATTTTGAAGTTGGAAAGGACTTTCTTTGCCATTCAATTTCATTTGAGACCAATATAGGAATCCTTTCAGAAGTATTCCTCATACTAAGATCCTTGAGGGAATTGAATTCAAACCCATGAAGTTTGGGGATTTTGCTTTTAGGCAGTAGGTAGCCATTGAGTCTTGAGAATGAGACTGTAGTACATGGATAGAGGTCAGGGTTGTGCGTTAAGGATATTAATCTGTTTTGGAGGTAGAGGAAGACTTGTGAAAGGCGAGAAAATGGAATTGGAGTAACCACTATGAAAGCTTTGCAAATATCTGGATGTTAGACAATATTTGCCTGGATTAGAGTTATAGCGATTAATATGAAAGTATGGACAGATAAGAAAACCATTAAGATGGATGACTCAATAGGACTTTGTAACTATTGAGGTTTAGAAGCTGAGTTGCTTAAGATAGTAGTGGTAGCACATATAATGTCCAAATTATTAGCTGTCTTTTTATTTAGTCTGTTTTCACTTAGCATTTTAATAGTATCAAATAATAAGGCCATTAAATATTATTTTATATCAGTGTGCTTAAAATAAAATTTTGTTGATAAAAGATACTATTTACAAAGAAACTCATGAGAATTTCCTATGTCATGGAAACAATAAAGGCATGATACAGGTGGAGGACCCATTTAAGTCAAATTAATAATAAATAATTTCACTGATTGGTTGACTCATCTTACAATATTTTCTTTTTAAACTTCTCTTTATTATTGAATGTATTACAGGCATCCTACCTTTCTCTCCCCCATTGACCCCTTCCTCCTGGCTCCCACCCCACTCCCGCCTTGCCCACATTATTGTCAGTGTCCATTGGTTATGCATATAGTCTTTGGTTTGTCTCCTTCTACCCCCCTTCCCTTTGAGGTTCATCAGTCTAAAAACCAATTTGTACTTCTTAATTTCTTCACCTTTTTCACCCATCCCCCCAATTCCTTCCCATCTGGCAACCAAAAAAAGTTCTCTGCATCTATGAGTCTGTTTCTGTTCTGCTTGCTCATTTTGTTTATAGATTCAGTTGTTGATTAATATGTATTTATTGCCATTTTATTGTTCATATTTTTGTTCTTCTTCTTCTTCAAGAAGACCCGTCAGCGTTACATATAATACTGGTTTGGTGGTGATGAACTCCTTTAGATTTTTCTTGTCTGGGAAACTCTTGATATGTCCATCGATTCTAAATGATAGCTTTGCAGGACAGAGTAGTCTTGGTTGTAAGTCCTTGCTTTTCATCACTTTGAATATCTCTTGCCACTCCTTTCTGGCCTACAGTTTCTTTTGAGAAATCAGCTGACAGGCCTATGGGAGCTCCCTTGTAGGTAACTGCTTTTCTCTTGCTGCTTTTAAGATTCTTTCTTTGTCTTTAACCTTTGGCATTTTGATGGTGATGTGTCTTGGTCTGAACCTCTTTGGGTTCATCTTGTTTGGAACTCTGCTTCCTGGACTTGTATGTCTGTTTCCTTCACCAAGTTAGCGAAGTTTTCTGTCATTATTTTTTCAAATAAGTTTTCAATTTCTTGCTCTCTCTGTTATCCTTCTGGCACCCCCATGATGTGAATGTTGGTATGCTTGAAGCTCATTACACTATTCACAATTTTCTTTTTTTAAATTCTTTGTTCTGATTGGGTGTGTTTTGTTTCTTTATATTCCAAATCGATGGTTTGCTTCTTAGCTTGACC